TGAAACTTCCGGAGGTCCATGCGCCTTTAAACCGAAATTTCAGAAATTTACAGAATGTGGGCGTGTTTATACTCATTTTGAAGCTCTTGTAAATCCAAACTCAGAAATTGTAAATTCAGGCTTCTGGGAAGACATTTAACAAAGTTATGTTCATTTTTAGTTTTGGTCCATCCGCCGTCAAATTAAAAAATAGCCGTACCTCATAGGGTTTTCAAACAAATTTCATGAAATTTAAGATTTTAACTTTTTCAGGGTTAGAACTTTTAAAAAAAGCTTAAGGACGACCTGTTTCGGTCAACTTTGGATTTCCCAGTTTAAAGGCGCATGGACCGTCGGAAAACGGAAATTGAGCAAAATGTGTCATGTTTATACTCATTTTGAAGCTTTGAATGCGCTGAATTCAATAAAACAATAAGAAACTCATATTTCCCTCATTGAGAGCTTAAAAATGAGCATAAACATGACCCATTTTGCTCGATTTTGAAATTTTGTAAATTTTATAATGGTCCCAAATTTTGAAACCCCTTGGAAGAGACTAAAAATTTGAAATCAGCGCGTTTTGAGTTTTAAAATGAGCCTAAACACGACATATAATGGTTAACTTTGAGTTTTTGACTTTAAAGGCGCATGGACCCCTCGAAATTTCAGAATAGTGCAAAATGGGTCATGTTTATACTCATTTTGAAGCTTTGAATGCGCTGAAAACGAGCTGAGTTCAAATCTTTAAAAATTGTGAGAGTATCTAGAAATCTATGAGCAATAAACCTCAAAATACATGTCAAAGTGGATGAATTAGGCATCAAATTCTTCAAATATCTAATGGAAAGTTTAATTTTTAAATAAAATTGAAAACTTTAGAGAATCAGACAAAACTAGTAAATTCAAAGAGAAGGAGAATAACCTTGCAGCTACTCAGTCTGTGTGAAAAAGTTGGAAAATGTGGTCATCTCCATGACCATGACAATTGGTCTCCCCCCTCTCCGATGATGGTTATTACCGGCTTTGTGCGAAAAGAGAGAGAGAGAGAGAGAGAGAGAGAGAGAGAAAAGAGGGATTTCACAAGAATTATGAAAGGAGACGGTTGTGTAGGCATGACTTTCTTCTCTACTCGATGCATATAATTAGTAAAAGGCGTTCGTTCTAAGGAATTTGGAATTACTTAAATTACTACAAAGTTGGAAATGTTACAGTAGTTATGATTGATGTATTACACATGAACCTGGAATATTCAGAAAATCGGCCCCTAACCTTTTTATCTCTAAACGTTGTGACGAAAATGTTCGACATTTGAACGCAGCTTGTTTAGCGCTTCAAAACGAGTATAAACATGCCCTATTTCGCTAAAAATCGATTTTCGAGGGTCCATGCGCCTTTAAACTTGGATATTTAAAAATGGGCGGAGACTAGTCGTGTTTATACTCATTTTGAAGCTAAAAACTCGATAAATGCGAAAATTGAAATTAAATTTGCTCAAAAACTCAATGAGATATGGTAGTTTTTAATTTGTTATGCGAATGGCCCAAAAACTGAAAATGACCATAGCTTCTTTCAACTTCCACCTAGAACTCTGAAATTGATATGAATGAATTCAACTTGTTAAATGCGTTAATATGAGTATAAACATGACCTTATTCGGAAAACTTTGAATTTTCGACTTTAAAGGCGCATGGACCCTCGAAAAATCAAAGTTGACCGATATGGGTCATGTTTATACTCATTTTGAAGCGCTAAACAAGCTGAATTCAAAATTCAAAACATTTTCAAGTTCCGGCTAAAATGAAGAAAGTTACAGTAGGATATGTATACAAGGAAGGGCCTCATGAGCCTTTAAAGTACTGTACCACTCTAAATTCAAATTTATAATTTCTGAAATTTGTAGAAATGTTATCTATAAAATCTTCTGGATCACTGAAAATTTTTTTTCAAAAGATAGCCTCTAGTAAGAAACGGACGTTTGGCGGTTTTCCGACGGTTCAAGAACAATAACTCCTCTAGTTTTGGTCCAAAATTTATGCAAAGTGCATGGTCCAACTTGGCTTGTCAAATGCTTCAAAATGAGAATAAACACGACCCATTTGGCAAAATTTTGACTTTTCAAGGGTCCATGCGCCTTTAACCTGGAAACTGAAAGTGGGCAGAAATAGGTCGTGTTTAGGCTCATTTTGAAGCTCTAAACAAGCTGAGTTCAAAATGTTTAAAATTTCCCGATTCCGGCAAAAATGAAAAGAGTTATAGTAGGATGTGCACACAAGAAAGTTATATTTCAAATCTGAATAATTAAAGTGGAGGCTCCAGAAGAAAAGAACATGTAAAATTTATTGTGTAATCATTCTCACTTGTTGAGAGACGCCGAGAAAAAGACAGAAAAGTGCATCAGTGATGGACCCACTGACAGCTGTTGTGATGAGATGAGAGAAGGGGGGGGGGGGGGGGTTTCAAGGGACATCACTGAGCAATCAGAGATTAACATTTTTCGAAGTTTTCGGATTAGGTTAAAGTACAGTAATCCAGAAATCGAAGAATTTACTTTAAAGCATGGAAAGCCCACTTATCTTACTGTACTGTAAGGTTACTGTACTTTTTGATATCTCTTACAGTAACCAAGACAATTGAGCTCAAAATTAGAGATTCTTTCCTTCTATAATTGAGAATCTTCAAAGTTTTCTTATTTTCAGTCTGAATTATGCAGAACGCGTCCTCTGCTTGAAAAGTCTGCTTTCAACCTAAATATCTCGTTTCCTGTTTGAGATATCAAAAAAGTGTTAACTGATAAAATGTTTTTGATATTATGATAACCATTTTGTCAGTTGACCATTTTTCGATATCTCTTACAGTAACCGAGATAATTGAGCTCAAAGTTAAAGATCCTTTCACCTAGAACTCTCGAACTTTGAGCACCCTTTAACTTTAAACCTAAATATCTCGGTTACTGTAAGAGATTTTAAAATGTGGTCAACTGATAAAATATAGCTAATATAGTGATAAACATTTTATTAGTTAACCGCTTTTGATATCTCCTACAGTAATCCAGATAATTGAGCTCAAAGTTATAGGTTAGGAGGGTGCAGCTTCCATTGTAGTTTTATCGCTATGATAGTAAGAATTGTGTGTCCCGAAACGAAAAATTTCAAAGAATCTGAAATTTCATATCAAAAAATTTAAAAATCACAATAATTGAAATTTATGGAATTCCTGAAACCTCGAAAATGCAAACAAAAAAACAGTTTTCAACTTTTTTAGCTACGAAATTTTTTTAACCAGTTGCAAATTCAAAATTCCAGCGTTTTTAGCTTCACAATGAGTATAAACATGACCTGTTTTGGTCATTTTAGATTTTTCATGATTTTTGAAGGGTCCATGTGCCTTTAAACTCGGAATTTTCAAAATGGGCGGAGCCTAGTCGTGTTTATACTCATTTTAAAGCACTAAACTAGCTGAATTCCAAAATATGACTTTAGATGAACAAAAACCAAAAGTTTACGAAATACAATCAAATTTAATTTTCCAAGGATTAGTCAAAAATATGTAAATCTGTATTATCTTGCCTATTTTTTATTTTTATGTGAAATTTAAATTTCTAAAATTCTCGCATTTTGAGCTTCAAATTGAGCCCAAACACGACCCATTTTGGTGGATTTCAATTTTCTCGATGGTCCATGCGCCTTTAAAGTGGAAAATTCAAATTTTGCAAAACCTAGTCATGATTATACTCATTTTGAAGCGCTAAACAAGCTGAGTTCAAAAAGTTGAAAATTTTCAAGTTCCGGCTAAAATGAAGAAAGTTACAGTAGGATATGTATCCAAGAAAGGGCCTCATGAGCCTTTAAAGTACTGTAGTTCTCTTATTTTAGATTAAAATTCTTGTTAAATGCTTCAAAATAAGTATAAACATGACCTATTTTGGTAAACATTGAAATTTCAACTTTAAAGGCGCATGGACCTTCGGAAAATCGAAAATTGCAGAAGTCAGAGAAAAGGACAAAGTTGGCACCGATTTGAAAATTAACTTGAATTTTGATTTTTAATATTTTTGAAATAATTGTTTTTTTTTCAAATTTCGTAACTGGCCAACTACTGTACCTACTTCTGAATAAAAAAAATTAAGCATAGGGTATTGCTAATATTTAAAAATTACAGTAACCATTCTCCTGAAACAATCAAGTTTCTAGCTTCATTCTGAGCCGAGTTACAGTCTTTTGAAGATTGTGGGCTAGAGAGTGGGTCAAAGTGAGAGAGCGCAGAGAAGCAAACACTCTAACTATCTGCGTCTCTTACCTAAAACTTTGAAGCGTCGTATCTCGGCTTCTAGTGGTCGTAGAACGCTCGTTTTTGGACCAAAATGTAGACAAATTTTGAGATTTTCTGAAAAATTTCCAAAATCAATTTTTTTTTGAATTTTTCAAAATTTAGAAAAAAAGGATTACTGTGCTTCCAAATATCACCCTAATTGCAATTATCTCTGAATTCCAAGAAATCCTAGAAATTTGATATTCGAAAAGAACGATGCATTTTGCAGAGTTTTTGGAGGGCTTCAATTGGGGGGTAACTAAGTTAGTTGGCCAATTAAAAAGTTAATTACTACACAACTATTTTCAAAATGAAAAAAATTAAGCAATTCGCCAATTTCCAGAATATTCTCCGATTTTTGGACTTTCTGAAATTCCATAATTTTCCACTACACTCCCCAAAAACTCGATCATAATTGTCGAGTAATTATCGAGTAATTAGGGGTAATTTTAAAAAATTTCGAAAAAAATCAATTTGTTTTCAAATCTCTGGAGTTTTTGAAAAATTCTCATTAGAGCGAACTTGCCTTTTAGTCATTTGTGGGACCCAAAAAAATCGATAAAACAATCAATTTTAATTCAGCAAAAAAGAGAAAAAGAAGAACTCCGAAACTTTTACAATTTAAAGATATAGGGAAAAATTGAGATTTTTGGGAGAAATATAAAAATGGAGAGGGAGGAAAAATTGAAAAATTCTGCTGAAATCCAATTGAATCACTTTTTGAGACGCTCATCGGCGAATGCGTCCTCCGGGTGTCCTTCCATGCTGAAAAATCGATAATTTTAGTCTTAAAATAGTCAAAGACAGGCTTAAAATAACCTGCAATGCCCCTAAAATCAGTTAAAAATAAGCCGAAAATCCAGTAAAAATCGATAAAATTCGACCGGGACCGTCTAATTTTTGGCTTAAAATGGCCTAAAATTTGATAAAAATCGATAAAATTCGACATGGATCAATATTCGGATCATTTTTAACAACATTTTGTCCTTCCATGCAACAAAAAAATCGATAATTTCGGCTCCAAATAGCTCAAAACAGAATAGTCAGAAAATCGCTTTAAAATGGCCAAAAAAACAATTTCAGCCTATTTTAACCTCATTTTCGTCATTCCATGCTGAAAATGAGTATTTTTGAGCTTAAAATGACCTACACTTCCTCTGAAATCAGTTAAAATGGTCCAAAAACCATCTGAAATCAAAAAAATGAGACCTGGACCAACTTTCAGCCTATTTTAGACCCATTTTGAACTATTTTCAGAGCGTTTTCAGCCCAAAAGGGTGTGCCTGCATGCTGAAAAATCGAAGTTATAAGCTAAAAACGACTCAAAATTACCCTAGAATCAGTGAAAAATTATCCAAAAATTAATAAATTCGAGGCAAAACCAATTATTGGCCAGTTCTATACTAACTTTGAGCTATTTTTCGGCCATATTCAGCTTAAATCAAGCTTTAAACGTCTTCACAGACTACAAACTACACTCCACATCCTTAAATTTCCAAAAAAAAAAAACGCACAAATCCTGCAAAAACAATCGCTGCGAGACCTGTGTTCCCTGCAGCTTCGCCATATCATCGTGAGTGAGTTGGAAGTCGAAAATATCGTGATTCTCCTGAATGCGTGCCTCGTTCGTCGACTTTGGAATCATGGTGAGTCCCCGTTGAAGGGTGTGTCGGAGGAGAATCTGAGCTGGCGTCTTTCCGTGTTTCTTCGCCAAATCCTTCACCGATTGATCCTCCATATCCTGCGGTGCTGGCGCCCATTCCAGTTTTCTGAAATTGAACCTTTTTTGGCTCGAAATTTCAATTTTTATCGATTTTTCTCAATTTTAAGCTTCCAAATCCACTGAAACAGGTCAAAAACCAATTTTTGGTGGATTTTTACCCATACAATTGAGCAAAATTCTTAAAAATTAGAGAAATTTGGTTGAAAATCTAGAAAATTTAAAGATCAATCTAGTCAATTTTAAGCCAATTTTCAGTTAGTTTCAGTCTCCCAATCCCAATTTTCAGCATTTTCAGCCACTAACCCTCCATTGGGAAGCTGAAAATCGACACGTCCGGGGCTTCCGAGTGTTGCATACGAGGTGACAATGATATTGTGCTTCTTGCAGAATGCCACGTGCTCGTTTTGAGGGAAATACAGATGAAGTTCCACTTGGGACACATGCACTGGTGTCAGATTCAGGTCGAGGGCTTTCTGCAAAACATTTGGAGGTTTTTTGAAGGGTTTGGGTGTTTTGGGGTCATGTTTAGCTCATTTTTAGCTGGATTTAGGGATAATTACGCTCATTTTAGGCCATTTAAAGACAACATTTGAGGTAATTAGACTCATTTAGGGTCATTTTTAGCTAATTTTGGGATAATTAGGCTAGTTTTAGGTCATTTTTAGCTGAATTTTGGGGTAATTAAGCTCGTTTTAAGGCAAATCTTGGGGTAATTAGGATCAATTTAGATCATTTTTGGGCGAAAATTGGGGTAATTGGGCTCGTTTTATGCCATTTTAAGCTAAATTTAAGGGTAATTAGGCTCTTTTTAGGTAATTTTGCGGAAGTTTTTCTCCCCTTTTCAACCGATTTTAGACCATAACTTTCTCAATTTTGCTAAAAATTTCATAAAACCTTGATTCTCGAGATCGAGGTTCACACTCAATTTGAAGCTCTAAACGAGTAAAATACGCCTCGAGACTCAATTTTTCAAATTTTTTGGCAATTTCCCCGTACCTTAATCTGTTTCTCATTCCAATTCGAGACTCCAACGGCCTTTGCGAGTCCCTTCTTGTGAATCGCATCGAATTGTTTCCAAATCTCCTCTACAGACACTGCTATCTTCTCCGTCATATCATCGTTGAACGCCGTTGGCATGTGAGCCAGATACAAATCCACGTAGTCTGTTTTCAGCCGTTTCAGCGACTCTTCCAGTGCTGGCTCCAGCTTTCCGGGGGCTATTTCGTTGGTCCACGCCTGGAAAAATTGAATTTTTGAGGATAAATAGCTCTAAAAGTCACAAAAACTGTGGGTTTTTGAGCTTCATAAACCTGAAAATATGCTTTTTGAGCTCAAAAATCACATTTTTTAGCTTAAAATGTCATATTTCTAGCCTAAAATTTCATTTTAGTCACAAGAAATCACACTTTTCTGTAATTTTACAGCTCATAACCCCCCCCCCCCCCCATTTTCCGCTCTAAAAATCATCATACTAGCTGAAAAATTCCGATTTTCAGCTCCTCAAAATTATATTTCTAGCTCGAAAATCACATTTTTTAGCTTAAAATGTCATATTTCTAGCCTAAATTCCCATTTTAAGCACAAAAAATCCCACTTTTCTGCGATTTTTCAGCTCAAAACCCTCATTTTCAGCTCAAAAATTTCAAAATTCCACTCCAAAAGTCGCAAAAACTCGGTTTTGTGGATTTTGAAAAGCTTGAAATATGCTTTTTCAGCTCTAAAAATCAACATTCTAGCTGGAAATTTTGATTTTAGGCGTTAAAAATCCATATTTTGCGCTGTTTTGGTCCAAAATGCGATTCTTGTTTGCTTGAGAAGCTAGAAATCTTGGTTTTGGGGCTCGAAAATCACCCTTTAGCTTTTAAAGCTATTTCTAGATTAAAAAATCACTCTCCTAGCTCAAAATTCCATCTTCTAGCTCAAAAATCACACTTACAGCTCGAAAACTACCAATTTTCAGCTTTGAAAATCACATTTCTAGCTCAAAAATCGTAATTTTCAGCTCAAAACATCACATTTTTTCTTTGAAAATTCTTCTAGCTTGAATTCCCATTTTTTAACCCAAAAATGCGATTTTTCAGCTCAAAAAGCACATTTCCAGCCCAAAATTAACGGTTTCCTGAGTGTTTTTTTTCCTGTTAAAATCGATAATTCGGGTTTGAAATCGTTTTTTAGCCCATAAAAATCGCAATTTTCTTCGATATGAACCTTGGTGGTGATGAAAAGATCCTCTCTCTTGACGACGCCCTCTTTGATCAGCTCCAGAATCGCCGTCCCAATCGCCTCCTCATTCTGATAGCACGTCGCCGTGTCGATCAATCGATAACCGGCCTTGATTGCGGCCTTCACAGCCGCTCCGACGACGTCTGGAGCTGATTGCCACGTTCCAAGACCAAGAGTTGGAATAGGGGTTCCGTTGGAGAGAGTGAGGGAATGTGGAGTGCCAGACATCATCTGGAAAGTGGAAAAATGGGAAAAATCGATAGAAATTGGGCAGAAATCCACTAAGAACAAAGAAAAGTGAAATTTTATTGAAAAATTCGAATTCGGACAATTCTGGCTGAAAAACCACGAAAGTGCACTTGCGCGTAAGATTCGGTGCAAAGTGTGCAAACACCGCAATTGTAGGAAAAACGCCGGGAAACTCCAATTTTTGAATCTTGTAAACTGAAGTTGGACAATTATCAACAGAAATCGATCGAAACTACATGAAAAACACTTAGAAATGGGCCCAAATAATTAAAAATCGATAAAACTCGGACATTTTTGATCCAGAAACTCGAAAAATCGATTTTAGGCCAGCTTAGTCGATTATAGTCAAAAATCGATGGAAATTACATGAAAAATACTCAGAAAATCACTCCAAATCATTTAAAATCGATTGAATCTGAAAATTTTGACCCAAACACTCGAAAAAACACTGAAAGTTGATTATAAAAATCCGAAAAATCGGCCTAAAAATATTTTGGCGCCCAAAATCATTCAAATCGACGCACAGGTGGACGCATTTAGGAGCGTATTTTGAAAGCGGCGCGAAACTCAAATTTTCAAATTTTTAAACAGAGTTTTATGGATTTCATCGATAAAGTCCTGAAAATCTAGTGTAAAAGAAGGATTTTAAAAGAATTTTATTAGGATTCAGGATAAAAAACACCATAAAAATTTGAAAAAGTGTCAAAAAATAACAAAAAAAATCGATAAAACGATCAAATTTTGGCTCCAACTACAGTGCACTTGATTGTTGAGGAGCTGCTTGAAATTTGAATGTATATTTTCAGCCTATTTTCAGCCACTGAATTTCGTTTTGGAGCTTTCGAATCATCTCCTCGTTTCTTAATTGCTCTTCTATGAGGATTTCCATGAAATTTGAAGGCTGTGAGTCCGTAAATTCGAAAATTGGAAAAAAATCGGAAAATCAATTTCACCTCGATTTCCGGGAAAATTTCGCGAATTTCCAAGCGGAGATCATCAATTCTAGCCAATAATTTCACTAAATCGATATTTTCCGTCATTTTTCGTGCTGATAATCGAGAAATTCGGCGAAATTTAGGCTGGAAAATGCGGAAAGTCAGAAGTGTGCGCGTAGGGTTCGGTGCAAAGTGTGCAAACACCACTGTAGGCAGGAAACTTCAATTTTTGAATTTTGAACCTAAATTTGGCTAGAATTATTGACTTTTCACCTATTTTCCTCTTAAAATGGACAAATAATCAACTTTTCATTGTTGAAAATTGCCAAAAAAAACTTTGAAATCAATTTTATTGATTTCTGAATTCTTTTCGAATTTTCTGGCGACTTTTAACAATTTAGAGTTAATTTTTGGCTTGAAATTTCGAAAAATCGATATTTTCAGTCATTTTTAGTGCTGAAAATCGAGAAATTCGGCCAAATTTGGGCTGGATCATGCGAAAAATAGGATGTGTGCATTTGCGCGTAACATTCGGTGCAAAGTGTGCAAACACCGAAGCAGCAGGGAAAAGAGCGGGAAACTTTAATTTTCGAATTTTAAGCCTAATTTTTATCGATTTCTGGTCTTTTTTCGTTGAAATTTTTGGAAAAAAATCGATTTTTTCTTCAGAATGAGCCTTCTCCATCAATCTGTCCAGAAAGCCGTCGCTAGAAAATTCGAAAACGACGAATTTACGGATTCAGAATCAGAATCCGGTGGAGAAGACGACGTGATTACAGATTCAGAAGACGTCGCGTTTGATGAGGAGCCAGCGAAAACGGAACGACGAAAACAGGCGGCGCGAATTCAAAAAATTCGGGGAAAAAAACGAAATTTAAGGGAGAAATCCGAGGATTTATTGGAAAAATTGGTCTCCAAAGAGCTAGAAATTTCGGATTTGTTGGAGAATTTGGGCAAAGAAGACGGTAAATTTTCAGAAAATTTTCAAGCCTAGAAATCAATTTTCAGCCGTGGAATTGATGGGAAAACTGGCTGAAATCACTGTGAAACAGCTGAAAATCAAATGCCGACGCGTCGAATTCCTTGGCGGAGAACTCGAATCGGAGAGCAAAAAATCGATATCGATTACTCGGAGAATTCAGAAAAGTCAGGAGAAGAATGAGATTTTAACCAAAAAAATCGATAAATTTCAAGAAAAATTGAAAGACGCTCGAGGGTTTTTGAATAAGCAAAAGGCGACGTGCCGGATGAAATATGGATGCTCACCGGCGAAAATTCGACGAGTTAGGGTTTGAAAAATGATGTTCTCAATGGAGCGAATTTGCTGATTTTTTAGGATTCCTCGACCCGCCCATCGACCAGCCAGCTACCGTACTACATTCCAGACCCAAAGCATGGACCATTCAAATCTACAGGAGGATATGACCTGGATATGGAAGATTCTGATTATTGATTTTTTTTCGATTTTTTTCAAAAATAAACTTTTTTGCTTAAAAAATAACATATTTTTCGGCTTTCTACCTCAAAAATTTGAGTTTTTGGATTTTTTTGCTCTGAAAATCACTTTTTTCAGCCTTGAAATTAAAGGAAATTACGTTTCCCGGATTTCTACTTTGGAATTTTGAGTTTCCCTCCAAAAATCGAGCGTTCAGTGTTTGCGTACAAGCACGTACTCCAATGCCCAACACTTTACGCGCAAGTTTTGGAAATTGAAATTGCGTTTTTTTCGCTAAATTGCAGCTTTTCGAGCTGAAAATTATGAGAAAACTCGATTTTTAAAGTTACAATAAAAAAAATTTATTCGAAAAAAGCACAAGATTCAAAAGAAGGAAGAGAAAGAGAGCCAATGGAGAAGAAGATAAAGATGGAAAATTCTGAAGAGCCTAATTGATTTTTTTCTGATTTTTAATAAATTTTTGTTTTCTTTTTGTTTGGAAAACAGCTTTTTTAGCCTCGCAAATCAAGAAAAATGCTATTTTTCGAATTTCTACCTTGGAATTTTGAATTTCCCTCTAAAAATCGAGCTTTCAGTGTTTGCGTACAGGCACGTACTTCAATACCCAACACTCTACGCGTAAATTTTTAGAATTTTTTAAAGCTATTTTCTCCATTTTTTCAGCTTAAAATGAGCAAATCTACTCGAAAAAAGCACAAAATCCAAGAAGAGAAAGAAGGAGAAGAGCCGACGAGGAAAAAATCGAAGAGTGAAAATTCCGAAGAGCCAGAAGACGTGACGGATTCAGACTATAATGACTCAGGTAAATCGAAACTTTTTCAAGCAACGAGTAAACCTTTTTAAGCGACAGTAAAACTATTATTAGCACTTTCAAACTTTTTCGAGCAATGGATAAACTTTTTTAAGCAACAACGAAACTATTCTAAGCCCTTTATAAACTTTTTCGGCCGTGGCTAATCGGGCACCTTTTTTTAGTTTAATCGTGGCTTGTTCATGGCTCAGAAAGGTTTTCCGAACTATCTGAGGAGGAAGAAGGTTTCCTTGATTTTTGAATTTTGGCGCCAAATTCAAACTTTGTAATTCCAGAAGAATCCGAACTTCTCGCTCTGGAAGAGATGATGCGAAAGATGACAGTGCTAGAGGAGGAGAATCGAGAGATCAAGGAGAGAGTGAAGACGGTAGAGAAAGAGAATGAGGAGTTGAAGGAAAAAATTCGAGAGCTGGAGAAGAAAAATCCGGAAAATTGATCTTAATTGCTCTGTAAATATCATGTAAATCAATAAATTTTTGTGTATTCTTTCCGTTTTTTCTTCGTTTTTTTTAAAATTTTTCTGAAATTCTGGTCGATTTTTCTCGAATTTTCGTCAATTTTCCTACAAAAATTAACGATTTTGACCCCAAATATCCGTTTTTCAGACCTTCCAAACTTTGCGCGTAGAGTCTGGTGCATACACTACTGTAGACGGATTTTTCGAATTGTTTCGCTTTTAAAGCAAATTCGTAGCTAAATTTTGATTTTTAAAATTAAATGTGTCGTTTTTCCTACTAAAAGTATTTTCTCCCAAATTTCCATCAAAAACCCAAAATGTTTCGTTTGTTAGACCTCCCAAACTTTGCGCGTCAAGTGTGGTGTATGAACTTGTACGCAAACACCGAATCTTCGAATTTCGAATTTTCGCTTTTCTTTTCGTCATTTTTCTCCTATTTTTCTGGAATTTTCGCCAAATTTTCTATAAAAAAAGTGATTTTTTGAAGAAAAGACCTCTTTTGGAATATTTCGCGCTGTTTTTTTCGTATTTTTCGCAGATTTTTCTGGAATTTTAGCCTATTTTTCTGGAATTTTCTCGAATTTCAGCCGATTTTTTTGGAATTTTCGCCTGAATTTTCTAGAAAAAGCGTTATTAAAGTTTTCAGAATGGCTACCATCAAACAGGAAATAATCAATGCCGCTGAGCCGGATGGATCGGATGGTCCAGACAGAAAAAGACTCAGGAGAGCAGAAGATCAAGGTAAAAGACCTAAGAATCGATAATTTTCCCCAAGTTTAGGCCCAAAAATCGATAATTTTTTAAATTTTTTCGGCCTAAAAGTCGATATCTCCCCTGATCTTAGGCCTAAAAATTCAAATTTTCCAGGCTCCTCCGACGACCCGAACGCTCAAGTTATCAAGCTGCTTCTCGCAAACGACACTCTGAATAATGAGAATTCAGAATTGAAAATGAGAATCCAGCAACTAGAAGAGGCTCTCCGGAATCGGCCATCGATCGATATTGGGAATAAGGTGGAGGAGATGGATAATTGGATTAAGAAGCTGGAGAAAATCCACGACGAAGATATCGATTTGTTGAAAAAATCGATAAGCGATTTGGCCGGAAAAATCGATGGAAAAATCGATAATTTGAGTCAAAATGTCGATAATTTGAGCCAAAAAAACGAGAAAGTGGAGAAAAATCAGCAGAAAAAACTGGATAAAATGGCTCGAAACATCGAGCAAAACGAGAAGGATCTTCAAAAATTCAGACAGAAAATTCAGGCGAAAATCGATAAATCGATGAAGGCGGAGAACGAAAAGTCCATGAAGCACATGAACGAGAAATTCGAAAAATTTCGGAAACAAATTTCCGCAAAAATCGAAAAATCCGCCAAAAATGAGGAGCAGGATGGCCAGAAAAAGGTAAATTTTTCAAAAAAAAATTTTCTATTGTTTCAATTTTGAGGCCTAAAAGTCGATAATTTTCCTTTTTGTCTAACTTTAGGCTTAATTTTTTCAATTTTCTTCGATTTTCAGCTGCGCAGAGGACGTCCCAGATGCCCACCGAAGTAAATGATCGTTTAAAAAATCATGTTCCAATTTTTATCTGTCAATCCTGTTTTAGCCCCCTAGAAAATAAATTTGTTTTTGTCGTAGATTTAATTGATTTTTTTATCGATTTTTGAGATTTTCTAGCCCATTTTTCTATACTTTTTTTTCTATACAGACAAATATTAATTTTCAGGTCGAAAATCGCTGGAAGAAATCGATGGGATCGTTAATTTTTTTGGTTTTTATATGTTGCCGAACCCAAATGCGCTCCATCGCACTCCACATGTCCCCGCCAAAATGTCGAGTGTAGTTTGTGCTCTTCCGCCAGCCGCAACTACTTTCATCACTTGTTTTTGTGCAATTTCTATTCGATAGAGAAGCCGACGGAAGCTATGGTTAGCAGATTTGAATTTTGCGGTGTCGAAAACCCCGAAAATCGATAATTTTTAATATTTGAAAAGTTTTGAAAAATTATCGATTTTTCGCTTTTTCAGCCAAAAATCGAAAATTTATCGACTTTCAGCAATTTTTTTCTGAAAATTAATTGATTTTCCATTTTCAGGAAGCTAAGCGCGTCATCGAGATCGCTCCGGGACCCCAATAATCGATAATTGATCAATTTTTGGAAATTTTCCATTTTTCGTCAATAAATTGTTAATCTTTTATTGAATCACTATGTAGATCAAAAAATTCACAAATTCACACCAAGAAAAACGCTCAAAATCCAAATATTCAAGTACAAAAAAATTAGTAAAAATGGGTAGATCAAAAAGTACAAAATGGGGAGGACAATTAAAACAATGGCGATGCTCAAGCAGATTTTTTTCCAGAAATTCCATTTTCGATGCGATTTTTCTTTTGAATCGGTTCGCGAGCCGGTGTAGAAATCGATAATCTGCAAAAATCGATTTTTTTTTGAGAATTCAGCGCGATTTTTGGCGATCAGAACCCTTCTAAAAAGATTTCTAGAACAATTTCCAGGTCAAAACCTCAATTTCTGCAAAAAAAAACAACAAACATCGACTTTCAGCGAAAAAAATCGATAAATCTGAAAAACCGCTCTAAAAATTGTTCTAGAAAGTGTTGAGCGATAAACATAAGTGTATTTGAATCGCCGAAAACAGGGGAAAATTTTCTATACAAAAAACGGAGCTTCTGTAAAATATTGACTTATCGATTTTTCCGGAAAATCGATTTTTTTTCACAAAAACTCACCTCCGGCATCGCACTTGGATAGGGATCGTAATCCAATTCTCTTTGTGCTCTGGCAATGCTAAAAGTAGTGCTAATGAGCAATAAATCCGCTTCCAATACACTAATAAATGGGTCAAATTTGAAATAATCGGCGATAATTTCCGCCCAAAATGCGGCTTTTCTGAAAAGGAATCCAGGAATCACTATCATATTATCGGGATATCCAAGAGCACGATTCAATGGAGCCCAGAATGAGAATGTGCCGCATTGCTCACGATCCATTATGTGATAGGCCTGCAAAAATCGATAAATCGATAATTGAAAATAATCGATTTTTCAACATTCCAATTTTCGGTCCTTCGTCATATTTTCGTAACTTTTAGGAACTCAAATTGGTCGCAAGAGTTTGCAGGAAACTTGCTATGGCGATTTTCAGAATTTCAGTCAAAAATCGAAAATTTGAAAATTCCCATTTTATCGATTTTTTCACCCTAAAAACTTCTAACTTTCCATTTTCAGAATTTCTAACTTTTTTCGATTTCGGAATTTCCAATGCATTCAATGTTTTTGCTTAAAACTCTTTTAAAAATTGATTTTTAGATTTTTCAGCCGGAAAATCGATAATTTTGAAAAAATCGATTTTTTTTTCGAAATTTTGAAATTTCGGCGATTTCTAGTATCCTAATTTTCGAGCAAAAAAATTAGCAGAACATTTGAAAAGCTTTTTTTTCAGAATTATCAGAATTTCAACCAAAAGTCGATATTTTTGAAATTTTATCGATTTTTCATTTTTTCTCATGTTAAACGACTTCTAGTTAACCGATTTTTATGAGTTTAGACTTTTTTGAATCGCAAAAACCTGCAAAATTCAGTAGATCAAAAATCCGAACCTGTCCATGTTCGGAATCACTGTGTCGAAGGGCCAATTCCGCTTTAATTAGGCCTTGGACACAATTATCGACCGATGATAATTGGGTCATCGCCTCAACACCTCCACTTTTAGCCATTGCGATCCACCAGCCAGATTTTATGAAATCCTGAAAAACGTGACCTACAAATTTTGATCTACCAAAAAAATTTTTTTCGAAATTCGCGACATACCAATGCCCTCTCGGTGACTCGTTTCTCGCCAACACCATAAATCCCATTAAATCGGAGTACTGTAGTTTTGAATGTTCCATTCGATGCTTCTCGAACGATCCGCTCGCCGTGGCACTTTGATTCGCAGTAGTAGTTGTACCACTGGAAATCGATAAATCGATAATTGATTTTTAGGTCATAAAATTTGTTGATTTTCTTTTTCTCATAAAATGATTACATACGGTTTTGTTGCTTAAAACCGCTTAAAAGCGATTTTTAATTTTTCCAATAAATCGATAAAATCGAAAAATCGACCTAAAACATTTTCTAGCAGGTTTCAAACGATGAAAATAGGCGCATTCGGTTCGTCGAAATCTGGCGAAAATTTTGATATCAAAAATTCGATAATTTTGCGAAATTTCGATTTATCGATTTTTGGCTCAAAGCTCGAAATTCGCACCTAAAAGCATTTCTACCTGATTTTTTTGCAATAAATTCAATTTTATTATTAAAGAATCCATGTTTTTTTCCCAAAATTTCGATCTCTCACATCTTGCGGGTACGGTATATCCGACTCTTTTGCATCAATCAGCGGTTTTCCTGTGAAAATCACGCCGACAGAAGATGTATATATGAATCGTTTCACATTTTTCGATTTACAAGTATTGATCAAATGCATAGTTCCCGTCGAATTGACCTCCATGCATGTTGAGCGGTCTCGCTGGAAAAAATCGATAATTTATTGAAAAATTTGAGAATTCCGGCTTTCCGGCCGAAAGTAGATCATTACCGCATGTTGTCCCGTCATTCCAACTGCTGCTAAATGGAATACTGTATCCACGTCGTCCAGTAGAGCGCGAATGATAAAGTTGTCGGCGAAGGAGCCCTAAATTATCGATTTTTAGGACAAAACTCAAAAATCACTGTAACGTTTTTTCTAGAATATATCTTTGAACGAAAATTAGTGCGATTTGATCGTCGAAACATAGCGGAAATACTGAAAACCAAAAATTTCAAAAAATGAAAATTATTGATTTATCGATTTTCATGTCGATACTTGAAAATCGCTCTAAATGGTTTTCTAGCTTATAGTTTTAAATGAAAACTAGTGCTATTTGATTGTCGAAATACAGCGAAAATTTCTGAAAACGAAACTTTCAGAGTAGTCTTCACAAATTATTGATTTATTGATTTTTACCTTAACAAATGCACAATAGTGTTTGAGCATATCCCTCGGCGGCTCGATCAAATCCAATAAAATCAATTGAATTCGATCGGGAATCCGGTTTTCGATTTCACCATCGATTTTTTGAGAAATTTCGTTTCAGACATTTTCAGCTCTTGTTCCATTTCCAGCCGAATTTCGCCACGTGTCATTTCTACCAATTTTTCGACTAAGTGATAAGCCAAATGGCCGGCTCCGCCGGTGATAAGGACTCTCCAAGTTCCAGATTTCAGTGGGGGAAGATCTGGAAAAATTTTTTGTCTGAAATTTTTTGTCTGAAAATTTCAAAAAACATTTTTTTCAAAAATTTCAAAACTCACCTGGCTTCTTCAAAACTTGAATTTCTTCGGATTTTTTCAGCTTCATCGTCTTTCGTTTCAATTTTTTGAAACTTTTTTGAAAGCTATTTTGAAATTTCGATTTGAAACTTTTTTGGAATTTCCTTGAAAATGTTCGAATCATTTTGTGGAAATCTGGAAATTTGAAAAATTTCAAAAAATTCAGAAAAATATCAAAAAACCGAAAAATCAAAAAATTCTGAATTTCAAGAATCTGAAAATTGATAAATTCAGAAATTCAGAAATTCAGAAATTCAGAAATTCAGAAAATCAGAAATTCAGAAATTCAGAAATTCAGAAATTCAGAAAATCAGAAATTCAGAAATTCAGAAATTCAGAAATTCAAAAATTCAGAAATTCAGAAATTCAGAAATTCAGAAATTCAGAAATTCAAAAATTCAGAAATTCAGATATTCAGAAATTCAGAAATTCAGAAATTCAGAAATTCAGAAAATCAGAAATTCAGAAATTCAGAAATTCAGAAATTCAAAAATTCAGAAATTCAGAAATTCAGAAATTCAAAAATTCAGAAACTCAGAAATTCAGAAATTCAGAAATTCAAAAATCCAAAATTTTTTGTCTAAAAATTGATTTTTCAATATTTCAGTTCAACGGTTTCCGGAAAAAAAACACACATCATTTTTTTGGAATTTATGAAAAAAATTTCTGAATGTTTTCAGGTTTTTTAGGGGAAGGAAAAAGGATATTTATTGGTAAACATAATAAAAACAGAAAAGTAGAAAAAGAGCTAATTTTAGAATTTTGTTTTCAAAAAATGCGAAAACTTGGATTCAGAAATTCAGAAATTCAGAAATTCAGGAACTCTGAAATTCAGAAATTCAGAAATTCGGAAATTCAGAAATTCAAAATTTCAAAAATTCAGAAATTCAGAAATTCAGAAATTCGGAAATTCAGAAATTCAGAAATTCCGAAATTCAAAAATTCAAAAAATCTTTTAAAAAGAAATCTGAAAACTTGAAAAATGGTTCCTTTTATACTGTATGTGTATATACTTTTTGTTTTCATGTTTTTTTTTTCTCAAAAAATTTTATTTTTGCGAAAATAAAATTATAGAGCAAACAAACAATTAGGGTGTCTGGGGTCCCCCCAGACCCCTAATTTTTGCTTTTTTTGTTTTTTAAAAATTATATTTGTACAGTAAGACCCTAAATTCTGAAATTCTGAAAGCTAGGAAAAATAGAAAATTTCAAATAAAAATTTCAAAAAAAAAAAATCAAAAAATTGTTTTTTCAATTTTCGAAATTTTTGTCCAAATGTCTTTTCCAAAATTATATTTTCAGATTTTCCTCATTTTCAGCTTCAAAATGAGCCTTTTGCTCCACTTTCAAATTTCCGGTGCACCATGCGCCTTTAAACTTTTGGGATTACTGTAGAAGCAAAATGGGTCATGTTTATACTCATTTTGAAGCTGAAAATGAAAAAAACCCAAATTTTTCAATTCTGAGTTACCTGGAAATATGGAAAAAAATCGGAAAAATATTTTTTTTTACACATCGAATTCTCCCCTTTAATTGTCTTTTTTAGTCTAATTTCCGGTATTTTCATAGTAGAAGAATTTCCTGTAGATAATTAGATTTATATCTTTTCCTTGGAATTTGGTCTGTTAGAATACTAAAAAACCTACTTTTTAGTTTTTTTTTCTTATAACTTAATTTTGTGAAATGTTGTGTAAGTTTTCAAAAATTCTCTAAAAGTTTTTAAAGAATTCAAATTGTAAAATAAATTAAAAATATGAATTTAAAACGTTGAGAGCTTCAAAACGAGTTTAAACATGACTAGGTTCATGGAACTACAGTAATCCCAAAATTTAAAGGCGCATGGTTCACCGGAAATTTTAAAATAGAGAAAAATAGGTCGTTTTTGGGCTCATTTTAAAGCTGAAAATGAAGAAAAACCAAAATTAAAGGCTTTGAATCAAAATTTGAGAGAAAAAATTTTCTGAAAAATTTCGAAAAAATAATTTTATGTTTTCCTGCGACACATGTTTGAGCGAAATTTCGGAAATTGCAATGTAATTTATCGTTTCCACCGGTTTTGGCGGCGGCTTGGCGCACACCAATTAAAGGCGCAAGGAGTTTCCGGCCGCCGCGGGTCCCGCAGCGAAGTAGACCTCCAGGAGCAGCGCCGCGCGTTCGTTCGTCATTCTACGAACTGTGTAGAGCTGAAGCAGGTTGTTTTGTTGATTTTTGGTTGAAATTTTTCGTTTTTTGTCAAGAATTAGACATTTTCGGGTAAAAATTGAGGTTTTTCTTTATTATTTTCGTACGTTTGTCGCAAAATCTTAATTTTCGTTAAGGTTCTTCGATTTTTTCGCGAGAAGAGAATGGGAGACGCTGGAGATTCAAGTATTTCTGGCTCAGGGACAGAATCGGGTTCGAATGGAAATATCGAGCTTGTCATGGCAGAGTTTCTTTCGAAATGCATGGAGGTAGTCGCCGAAAAGTCGGCAAAGAAGGAAGAAAAGGTCCCTCAAGTTGGGCAGAAGGGCTTGTTGAAACAAGCGGAAGCAAACACAAAGTGGATTAACCTGTTGACGGGAGCGGATGAATCGAATTGGCAGAATACTATAAAATCAGTGGTAGATTCGATCCGAGCTCGGAACGCTGAGTTGATGTTGCTCGACAAGAATCCGAATGCTCTCAAGGCGAAGGAACAGTTCGAGGCGATTGCTCAAGTTAACGGAGTTCCTTTGGATTCGATGGATGCAAAATGGATAGCGATGGCTCAGATGATATCAACCGGAGCGTCTACATCTTCGAATCGTCATCCTCCGAAACGGGACCAGTTCTTTCGATCAGCGGGCTCCTCCTACAGGCCAGGGGGAGTCCGCGGCGACTTCTATGGCCGACAAGTCGAGGAATTCCAGAGAAGACCGATTAAGAGAACTTACGACGATCGCGAGGCGAATTCAGAAGATGGCTTCAGAAAATCGACAGTCAAATGTTACGCGTGTCACAGGACGGGACACTATGCAACGGGCTGTCCACAGAGAAGGTATGGTTTCTCCGTTCAGTCTGACTGAAAAGTATGGCTTCTGGAGCCAGTTAACTGATAATGAGTTTATCAAGAGTGTGATAAGAGATGGGTATCTGATACCGTTAAACGGAGCCTGGCTCCCTAGTCCACAGGGACTGAGAAGATCAGCGAGAGAGAACAAACAGTTTGTTCTTACAGAACTCAATAAACTCGTGGAGTCTGGTGTGGTGGTCGAGACGGTTTCTCCGAAGGTGGTGTCGAGTTTACATGTGGCAGTGAACGGTGAGAAAAAACGGTTGATTCTGGATCTATCACAGTTGAATAAAAGTCTGACTCCGCCTCATTTTAGGTTAGAAGACTGGAAAACTGCGTGGCCATTTTTGCAGAGAGCTAAGTATGCTGCGACGTTTGATTTTCGTGGCGGATATCATCACGTTAGAATTGCAGACAATTCTACAGATTTGCTCGCGTTCTCTCTTTCTAATCCCCATGCTCCTCCGTATTTTAAATTCGTGGCTCTACCATTTGGTTTGAGCACAGCTCCATGGCTGTTTACAAAGATTTTCAGGCCTTTAGTAGCGCGATGGCGAGAATTCGGTATAAAAATCTTCCTCTATTTGGATGACGGGTTGATACTAGCAGAAACTAAAGAGCAGGCCCTTTTAGCGGTGAAAATAGTTAGGGAGGATTTGGAAGCGGCGGGCGTGACAGTAGCCGAGGATAAGTCTTTTTGGGAACCAAGTCACCAATTTACGTGGCTTGGGTTGATGGGCGATCTCAGCGAGAGAACAGTGAGACTTACAGAAAAACGCGAGAAGAATTTACGAGCGCAGTTGGAGAAAATGAGGCGGAGTGAGGCTCCGACGATTCTTGATCGTCAGAAATTGTGTGGTTATTTGTCTTCAATGACTGTAATTTCAGATGAAGCCATCAGACGTCAGCGTCGAGTGTCCCATGCGGTCGCGACAACGATTAAGGAGCACCCAGAGACACGTCCATTGGGGTTCCTTTATCCAAAGGTGAGAAAGAAGAGTTAGATTTCTGGAGAGCGCAGCTGGCTGGCGCGACGGTTATAAAGAAAATGGACGATAGTTTTTGCCCAGAGTTGTTTTTGTTTACAGACGCGTCAGCAGAAGGTTTAGGAGCAGTTCTTAAGAATAAAGAGGGGCGAGTGATTCTGAAAATATCAGAGCTAGGCGGGCCAGGTTTCCTTGAGGAATCTAGCGCTATGAGAGAGCTTAGGGCCGTGGAGCTCGCGGCGAGAAAATTAGCAGAGTCGCAGAAAGGTACGATATTGATTCATACGGATAGTCAGGCGGCGGTAGTGATCCTAAAGAAAGGTTCCATGAAAATGAACCTTCAGAACTTGGCGGAGAGAGTCTGGCGGGCGCTAGAAATAGTTGGAGAGGCTCGATTTAGGTGGATTCCGCGTAGCTTGAATACAGAGGCGATGAAGCCAGTCGAGATTTCGACTATGACGATTGGGGAGTCCAGGATTGGGCTTTTACGTGGCACAGAAAAGATGGGGATTGGTCGCCTGTGACTGGTTCGCAGATAAGGATAACACAAAATCAGAGGTTTTCTTTTCCAGGTTCCCGGAACCATGTGCAGCTGGAGCAGATGTCTTTCAATGGATTCGAGAAGCCACGCAGCTGGGATTGGCATGGTTGGTTCCACCTCCTAATCTAGTCCCCAAGCTCATTAGGGAACCGCGGTTACATGGGTTGAAAGGGATTCTAGCGACCCCTATTTGGAAATCACACCCTTCCTATCAAGCGTTGACTGATGATAGAGGGAGATTTTTGGTTGAGATGAGAGACTGGAAAATATTCCCAGTGAATACGAAAATCTTAGTACCAGGAGCAGGGTCCAGTAGAAATGAGAGATTTAGTACTGAGTATTGTAGATCCCCGTTCATTACAACATTTATAGACTTCTCTTGTTAGCCCCCTGGCTTTTCTGGTTCTAGCTTACACCTCTAAAAATGGCAAAAATAAATACTCAAATATAGCAAGTCTGTGTTCTACTAATCCTTTTTTGCTCAGGGGGAGCAAGGAAAACAGATTCCCTCGAAACGTTAGGCGAGAGGGAATTTTATGTTTTCCTGCGACACATGTTTGAGCGAAATTTCGGAAATTGCAATGTAATTTATCGTTTCCACCGGTTTTGGCGGCGGCTTGGCGCACACCAATTAAAGGCGCAAGGAGTTTCCGGCCGCCGCGGGTCCCGCAGCGAAGTAGACCTCCAGGAGCAGCGCCGCGCGTTCGTTCGTCATTCTACGAACTGTGTAGACCCACCCACCCACCCGGGGAAAGGAAGTATAAGGAAGGGATAAAGAGAGTATTATTAATCTGATTTCAGAAGGGCACAAAGCAGCGTTCTTTGAGAGTCTGGTTGAGGAGGCGGAAAGGGCTGGTCTGATGCATCTGGTGGATTCTCTCGGAAAAGCACCAATTGAAGCTAGAGCAGTATCGACGATGAAAGCGTATGCGGGGGAGAACCAGAGAAGAATCAATTGGTCCAAAAGTTTACCGGCATCGCTGTCAGAAGAGCACAGGTTCACTCTGTACTTGGTGGATAGAGCGATGTCAGCTGGGAGTAGTTCATTAGCAAAAGCAGCTGCCGCTTTCAAGCTGGCAAACGACGGTCTGTCTCCATTCGCCAGTCAACTAGTGTCCGATGTCATCAAGGCACAAAGAAGAAAAGAGAGCGAATCTCGTGCACAGCCGACACAAGTGAGCGTGAATACTGTATCGAAGATCGTGGATATGGTTCAAGATGACGAGAAATCGGGAATGCGTTGGTTGTGACACTTTCGTTTTATGGTCTTTTGAGAGCTGAAGAGGCTTCGATGTTGAAGTGGTCGGACGTCCATCAGTCAGGAAATATGCTGAAGTTGAAGATAAGGAGGGCCAAAAACGATCAATTAGCTAGAGGAAGAGAGACGTTCTGTAATTGGCCGGAGGGATCTAAAAGAGATTGTCTGCTTAAAAGATTCCGAGCACGTGCATCGATGAGACCCGGATTGGATTTTGTCTTCCAAAATATCGTAAACGGAACCAAGCTGACGCCGTCAGCGATTTCAGGAATTGCCAAGGATACGCTAGCGGCTGCTGGAGTATCCGCGACACACCATTCACTCAGACGAGGACGTGCCAACCATCTTCAGCAGTCTGGAGTGGATTTCCAAGCTATTAAGGAGACTGGTCGGTGGAGGTCAGACGCCGGACTGCGATGTTATTTGAGCGATTCTCCGAGAGCTCAAGGATTCACAGTGACGGAGTTGGGGGATGAAGTTGGAGGATGAAAATGGGAGATTCCGATGACGATGGACCACCAGTTTTGCAGAAGGAAGTATAATAATAATATGTTCGTTCGTTGCATTCTTTTTCCTTCCCCCCTACCTTATTTCTGCCCCCTTCTCAATATTCAAAATTGTTGCTTAATTGCTATCTTAGCTAATTTGTTTGTTTTAGGTCATTATCTTAAAATCCTGTATAATCAAGATCAAATCCCAGCGTATATCTTTAGTTCATTAATTCAATTGTGACTAGTTTTTAATTGTTGTGTTCTACTTACCCCCAGTACCAATACTTACCAATACGAGTATACTGTACAATCACGTGTATTATCATTACGAGTTTGTAACTTTCAAGCTTAAGCTTCAGCTTACACCTCTAAAAATGGCAAAAATAAATACTCAAATATAGCAAGTCTGTGTTCTACTAATCCTTTTTTGCTCAGGGGGAGCAAGGAAAACAGATTCCCTCGAAACGTTAGGCGAGAGGGAATTTTAATTTTTTTTTGATTTTTTTTCAGATTTTCCGAAATCCCATTATCACGAAAATAACATTTTTGAATTTAGCTCATTTTCAGTTTCAAAATGAGTATAAACATGACCCATTTTCTTCAATTATTCAAAATTACAGTAACCCCAATATTTAAAGGCGCATGGTCCACCGGAAACTTAAAAGTAGAGCAAAATAGGTCGTGTGTGGGCTCATTTTGAAGCCAAAAATGAGGAAAAATCAAAATTAAAGGTTTAGAATCAAAATGTGAACAAAAACAAAGAAAAAAAATTTTTTCGAAAAATTTCGAAAAATAATTTTAAAATGTTTTTTCGATTTTTTCAGATTTTCGAAATTCCTAGCATTATAAAAATAAAATTTTTGAGTTTGGCTTATTCCCAGCTTCAAAATGAGTATAAACATGACTCATTTTGGCGGATTCTGATTTTCGAAGGGTCCATGCGTCTTTAAATTTGGCTTTCTGTAGTTTTCTGGAACCTAGGCTTGTTTATACTCATTTTGAAGCTCTTAACAAGCCAAATTCTAATTTCTACTTTCCAGTCATCCAAATTCTTCACATAATTCAATATTTTGGTTTTTTCTCGGCTCAACTCACAAATGCTTTTTTGATCTACTTGATTATTCTAAAAGCGCGGACACTTTTTGGTGCCTATCGATACGTAATGGGCGCTTTTGCACTATTTTCTTTGATCTACGCATGGATTGAAATTGCCACCCAACCGGTTATGCATATTTATGGACCAATTTTTGTGGTTTATATGGATAGTCCAATGAAATATGAGAAATGGATTGGAAACGATGTTACTTGTAGGTTTTGGACTTGAAATAATGGAAAATTTAAAATCAGCACAAAATTTTAGTCTAGAAACATATTTTCAAAATTCGTAAAATTAGAAATTCAAAAAATTCAAAATCCAGAAAATGAATATTTACACCATCACTTTGAGCTCAAATATCTCGGTTCCTATAAAAGCTATCAAAAATGTATCAACTGATGAAATGTTGATGATATTATGATAAACATTTTATCAGTTGACCACTTTTAGATATCTTTCATAGAAACTGAGATAATGGAGCTCAAAGTTAAAAGGACTCACTCAGATTTCAAAATTAAAAAAAAAAATGTCAAGAGTCATTGACCTCAATAGGAGGTCACTATAAAAGAAGAAAGAAATGAAAGGAAGAATCAGTTCTCCCTTTTCTCTGGGGTTCAGACAGAAGGGAGGGATCCTCCGGGGTCAATGGGGTCCATGGGGGTCATGGGTCCGTACTTTTTTATAGGTTGTGACCTACTTTTTTCTAGGTCGTAGCCTACTTTTTTATAGGTCATGACCTAATTTTTTTTAGGTCATGAACTACTTTTTCCCATACCTTTTACATACCTTTTTCTAGGTCATGACCTAGTTTTTCTAGGTCATGACCCACTTTTTTCTAGGTCGTGACCTACTTTTTTTCTAGGTCATGACAAACCTTTTTTCCAGGTCATGGCATGACCCCATGGACCCCATGGACCCCTGGACTCCATGGAATCCATGGACCCCTGGACCCCTGGACCCCATGGACCCCATGGACCCCATGGACCCCTGGACCCCATGGACCCCATGGAGGATCCCTCCCCCTTTTCTAGACTCTAGAGCCCAGAGAAAAGGGCAAACTGATTCTTCCTTTCATTTTTTCTTCTTTTATCATGATCTCCCTTGAGGTCAATGGGTCTTTTTTTGAATCACGTTTGAAAAGCCTTTGACATTTTTTTTTGAAATTTTGAAATCTTTGTGACTCCTTCAAACTTTGAGCTCAATTATCTCGGTTCCGA